TAAATTTAGTATTTAAATTAGTATTTTCTGGTGCTTTTCTAGCACCCTTCGGTATTTTTCGAGTGGCAGAAAGAGTTTTTATTTTATGTTTTTGTTTTTAATTAAAGGAAAGACAATGGAAAATCCATCAAAGACTGAACTTTAAGTCATAAGTTGTATTCTTTGAGAATTTATTGCATTAAATACAATGGTAATTTCCGTTACTTTTCTGATATTTTTGTTTGCATTTTCTTGGTAGTTGAAATAGAAGATTAATCCGAATTGATTTAAATTAATTATTTGTTTCATTTTTTAGTTGTATTTATTTACACATTTTCAAATTAAGTTTTTTCTGATATTTTTCTAGAATTTCATTGGTCTTTCGAAGCAAAATGTAGCTGTTTTTATTATCTTGCATTTGTATTAAGCATCTTTGCTCTACCCGCTTAGAGTTCTTATTATACTTCTCCTGGCAACCTAAGAACTTGTTAAATCTTAAAAAATCCTCGACTTCTTGCGCTGTCATGCGCTGCAGTGCATTATTCTGGAGCATTTCTCTGGCGCATCTTGCGAGCTGCGATTTACAGCTTAGTCCTGTTCTTAATGAAGTTTTAAGCCAAGTTGCAGCTTGCATTAAAGATTCTTTTTTAACTAATAATACCTGTTAGTCGTTCCCCCTTGGTCCCTCTGTACATTTTACCCCTGCACAATGCTGCCCTTTATTGTCTGCTGGAGGCGAAAGTAAAAGTTTAAACAGAAACAAAAGGGCGCACAGAAAACGCACACAATATTCAATGGTCCGAACAGTAGCGAAAAGTCCTTGCCAGAAGACCCCTACCCTGCCACATATTCGTTTTTCTTTCCCCTACTGAGTCTTTCCCTCTTCACGCATTCGACACCCTTTGCTTCGTTACTTTCCCTCTCGTTTTGGGCGCCAAGGGATGCGTGACAATATGCCGTTTAATTATACGTCAGGACCTTTTCCTTTCCCTGCTCGTAACAGTTCCTTCTCCCTATTGCTGTTGCTGTTGCTGTTGTTCTTGTGATATCGCACACACATTTTAAAAGTCAATTATCCGCACATAACGCACATCGTTACAGGCGGGGGAGGGTCTCGCTCTGGTCCTGTAGTCCTTTGCCACGCGTCAAATTTGGCGCGTTTACTTTTCGCCTTTGCCCTTTCGTTTTTGCTCTCTTTGCCGTTCAGCTTCCTTTTTCTTGGCAACTTTCTGCAGCGACAAAGAGAAAGAACGAAAGAAAGAAGGCGAAGAAAAGTTTATTACTTTCATGAGACGACTCCTTGGCATGCGAATCGAAGCGGGGCACGGGCCCAGGAACGATGGTGGGTTGTCTCGGTAAATTGAATTACATGAGACATGAGACGCGGGTAACGACGAGACGAGCGACGAGAGCCATAAGACTTCGATACTAAACCGATAATAACATAATCAGCCACGGTGTCTTGCCCATGAAATCCTGCCCCTGCCCCTGCCCCTGCCCCCAGACACAGCCACAGCCACAGCCCCTGCCATATCCTTCATCCATCCTTCAGCCTTTATCCAACTATGAGGGAAAAGTGAGCTTTAGTTACCGTTAACAAGCCAAGTGGCTTGGTCGTTTGCCTCAGGTTTTACCCCCCAGCAGCAGCCCCATTGATAGTGGAAAAGTTTCCCAGCTGAGACGAGGCTCTCTGGCCGTCATCTGTGGCCAAAATGCTGCCCGCCTATAGAGCGGCTACACTGTGCTGCAGGGTTGGGAATGAAATGAAAGTAGTTTAAGGCGAAATTTAGTTTCTACTTGCTGGAAATATTTTGTTCAATGAAAATCAATCAGCAAAATGGTTTGAGGGCTTGTTCCAACTCATAATCTGCATGCCCTGAACATGTAGTTCAGTGTAATTGTTCAATACTTTCCTTTAAGCACTCTCTAAAGCACACACTGTGCGCTTGTTGCAACTCATTGAGGCAGGAGGCATTCTCATGTAATTGGCTACAATTTGCATAACAATTCTGCGACTGTTTTGCATAAGTCCTGAAACGACAACGACAACGACAACGACAACAACAACGACGACGTTGCAACATAATAACCAAAAAGGGAAAAAAGAACAAGAGCCCAAAGATGGGGCAGAGAATATGAGGCTGAGAATATGAGGCATAAAATGGAGTGGCGGGTGCAGCATCAGGCAGTGGCTCCAGCGGCGCCACTTATATACGCATTAGAAATTCCCTCTTTTTCGACTGAGGGACGACGACTGAGGCCCTTGGCAGAGGCAATTATGTGCTTCGCTTGAGCTGCACTCCACTCTCAAACACACACACATACACACACACACACACACACACACACACACACACACACACACACACACACACACACACACACACTAACACTAACACACATTCCTTGCGACTGACTCCCTACCGTACTTCACTGCCTCCCACCCCCCACCACCCCACTCTTAAGGATCCCCCGCACTGTCGACACACTCTTAAGGAACCTTTCAAGACAGCAGCCGCCTCGTAAAAGTCGCTGCCGGAAATGCAATGGCAAAAGCAGTGGCAGTGGCAGCCAGAAAAAAAACCCAGTAGTTGGTGTGAGAATTAGGACTAATTGATACCCTAAGAAACTCTTGAATGGAGTTCGAAGTCAATTTCAAAAATATTATTATCTAGTGGAAGAATATTCCTAGTTTTTCATGGTATTCTGCTGAGTCTCTTTCTTTTCACAGTATTTGTACACATATATTTCCATTCTTCGCAAATTTGTTTTTGTTTCTGAATCTCTTTTTTCGAATTATTGATCATTTTCTTTGTCATTTTTTTATGACAGTGCCTCCACTATTTTAAGGTATTTTTATTGTATAGATTATGTAGTATTTTTCAGGTATAACTTTCAGATTTTGTCTAGTATTTGATTACACCCCAAACAAAAGCGGGACCCACATAGAACCCAAAGCAAAAAAAATCGCAGGGCGCTCTACAAAATGCAACCATTTCCCCAAACCCACCGCCACCCACACACATTCCTCGTGGAAAGTTATCAAAATTGAAAATTTCTTTCATTTTATTTCCACCCAAAAAGCCGGAAAAAAAAACCAAAACAAGAAAACTTTGCATCTCGTTTTGCGCTCGCGTTTCGCGTGCAGAACAAAACTCTGAACCGAACCGAAGAACTTTATAAGATCCACTTTAATAATGTCGAGTGCTGCTGCTGCTGCTGCCAGCGCTCCTCCTCTCCACACTCTTTCTACAGCTAGAATGCCATCTGCAGTTCAAGTAAAAATCTCATCATAAGAAATTAAAACTTAAATACAAAAGCCAGGGCCTAGATGAGGAAAGGTTGATGAAGAATATCCTTAGAAGAGGAGGCTCGTAGGCTGACTGACTTGCTTTTATGCAACAGTTGATTGAGTTTTTCCATTTGGATTTTTTTCGGACAAAGTCAATCCTGAATCCAACGTCCATTTCCATTTCCATTGCCCATCATCAAGGTAGCACTCCCAAACAGCCATGTTGAATTAATAAAAATGTAATGCCCAGGCCAGGCCAGGCCAGAGTCCACCCGAAATTGAGCTAATAAATTTCCAAAAATGAGTTCGACGCTTAATTTGCCATGAGCATTTTTCATTTTATTTCACGCCGGGCACGAGCCGAGCCGAGCCGAGCCAAGCCAAGCCCCTGGTCCATGGCACTTAAGCCCCTCACCAAAAGGAAATCGAGGGAAAAATCCAAAACACACACACAACACAATACACAACAAAAGGAAAAGCTCGGAAAACAGAAGCAGAATGAAAATGAACAACAAGAGCTGAGCTGAGGAAAGGCAATGCCAGAGAGATGAAGCTCAAGTGGGGACGGACGGTGAGCCGGCGGACCCATTGAGATGAGGCAGTGGGAAAAGCTACTTAACGAAATAAGTGAACAGAAATTTATTTCACATTCTCTGGAGATGTAAACTAAAGAATGCTCTCTCTTTCAGTGGAAAAGTTTGAATACATTTAAGAATGGAAAACTATAAGTCTCAATAGAATGGATAACTTTATAATCGAACATTGCTTATTGCAAATAAAAGTTCTACAAGCCTTTCGTAAAGTAAGACAGTTTGCCCTATTATTCCGGGAATTTATGGGTTGTAGATTGTTTACATATGGATTGTAAATCAGTTTGAAATTTACATAGTTGGATTCTGGCAGCTGTTTGAAATGCGAATTTTGTACGAATAAATTACAACAGATTCTTATATTAAATATCAGCATAATAATAACAAATACAAATAATATTTCAAATAAAATAAAATATATAACAGCTTCTCCGTAATATTGGCAACGTTTAACACAACGCAGATTGAATATTTTATCTGTCAAACTATTTTTTAATATTAAAAAAAAAAGAATTAAGCAGAGAAATTTGTTCTGCTATTTTTGCTGAATTATCGCTGTACAAAGTAAATATCCCACAACTACTCAAGAATTACCTCTAAATTCAATTTACATTTCCTGTTATATATTTCTGATATTTTTTAGAAGTTTAAAAAATATATCCAGATTTTTTAAGTATTCTATTCCTGTATGTTCTATGCATTTTCTATTATTTTTTTCTGCAGAAATTGTCCCGTCTCAACAAATAGAACCAAGTTCCATTTCATGCCCTTACCCAACCACGACCCACACGCATTACTTCAACAAAAAGTACGCAAATAAACATTTGTACACTCATTTATACACAGATACATAAAAATATAGAAACATGTATGTGTGTATACTCTACATACACACACACACACAGATTGTTGTATTGTAAATCAACGAAAAAAATAAGAGAGGAAGTGCGCCCTGGCCGCAGTTAATTTACATAAAGTAAAGTAAAACTTTTTCCCCCGTGTCCTGGCCAACATACTTAACCAAAAGCGAATCCCTCTTTACCCTCATTTTCCTTTCTTTTGCATTTTCCGCATACTTCTTCGGCTCATGGAAATAAATTTAATTCTTCAACTTGTTCTTTCTCTCTCGCTTTTTGCAGCTTGGACTTTAGACCGGGTCGTGGCATTTACGATCTGCAAATAAAGAATACCTCCTACAATCGCGACAATGGACGCTTCGAGTGCCGCATTAAGGCCAAAGGAACCGGTGCGGATGTGCACCAGGAGTTCTATAATTTGACGGTGCTGACGGCACCACATCCGCCGATGGTTACGCCCGGCAACATTGCGGTGGCCACCGAGGAGAAGCCTTTGGAGTTGACCTGCAGCAGCATTGGCGGCTCACCGGATCCCATGATAACGTAAGCCAGCGGCCAGAAAGGCCAACGGAAAAATTTAAATTGATGTGCTGCTCGTACATTTCGTCTGTCCCTCTTCCTCTCTCTCACTTAATTCTTTCTTTCCTTTTTGGCTCTCCTCTTGGTGGTTTTTGTGGTTAAGTAAATCACTTAACGGGGCGGTAGCCTTCATTAATAATCCGTCTGTCGCACATGGTTACTGCAGCTCGTGCTTTGTAAATACCCTAGGAAATGAGGGGCATATTTTGTCTTTGACAATTTTGTACCCAAGGCTATCGAAAAACCTTTGACGAAAAGTTTGTGGTTCCCACAATTTTCCCGCGACAAAGCCGACATTTCATAGCCCTTTAGTTCCACTAATTCCCCAACTTAATACAAAAAATCAGCCAAATCGTATGACATTAACCCTATTATACCTCCCCTAACAGGCATTCCCTAGTCGTATGCATCATCCTTGGCTTTCCTTACTTATTTTTTGGCACTAAATCCTTGTCTCTTGCTATCCATTCTGATTCGGTACCATTTTTCTCTCTCTCTCTCTCTCTCTTTGGCAGCTGGTATCGTGAGGGCAGCACCGTGCCACTGCAGTCGTATGCTTTAAAGGGCGGCTCCAAGAATCACTATACAAACGCCACACTACAGATTGTGCCCAGACGGGCCGACGATGGCGCCAAATACAAATGTGTCGTTTGGAATCGTGCCATGCCGGAGGGCCATACGCTCGAGACCAGCGTCTCTCTAAACGTCAACTGTGAGTATGACTACGAGTAGATGTTAAATGGGTTTTGGGTTTGGGCTTGAATTTACGACTTGAGATTGAAGAATTTGCATTACCAGCGGGCCCCGGGCAACAATAACAAATTTTGCTTATGAACTTATGGCTGCAAAAACCTGTAAGATTTATAGCAAGTGTTTGATCTAATTTTTGGTTAATTTCTTTGGCAAACTTTGGCAAGAAGAACTCACCAAAAGGTGGCATAAATCTATGAAAAAACATCAAGCTCTCCATTCATATTTAAACATCAATCTCTTAATTCACTTTCGACACTTCAATCTTCATTAGAGGCAAACATCTGTGGCTGTGTGTCGAATGACTTATGTTTCGCCAATTAAAAACCAAGAGTGCAACACAAAACAACCTTCGAAATAAAATAAAACATTTATGCCTGGCAAAAGTTTATTGCCTTTTCCATGCGAATCCTCTTGTTGGCCTCTCTTGGCCTCTTGTATTTCTTTTGTAATTAAAGTTTTTGGCAAAATGCTTTTATGAGAACATATGTTACCAATTCCCGTAGCAAATGTTGTCGCATGATTCACGTGACCGAAAATCCAAGCACATGAGAGACACATAAAGTGTCTGCAAACCACACTGACACACACAGAGAGGCATGCTGTTCGTGCAACCCACTTGATTGTTAGTTATTGGACCACAGGACTACAACAGCAGACGGGAGGAGGAGACGGAGGGTCGGGTCTGCCGCTGTTGTCTGGTTGTAGTATCAACTTGTCATATTAGTTGGGACACACAAAATGCGTACTACATCCATGTGCATGTATCAGGCTGCGTCAGGATATTAAATGTTGGGCCAACGCTGCGTATGCGCAATCTACTTGTCACTTTTTTCCCATTGAGTTGCATTTAATATAAAATCATTATCATCAGGTTATGAGAAAATCTTCATACAATTTATGCACTCAAATAAAGTAACAAACTACCAAAAGTCATAAAAAGGAGCTGGAAAAAAAATAGTGGCACAGAAATAAATATTCATACACTTGGAGAAAAATTGTCATGGAAAACTAAAAAGCAACAGCCGCATATGCACACAAATATGCTGACATAAAAAAGAATTTACTGTGACAAACATATTTTTTTTTAATGCGAATCATTTTTAATTTTAATTAAAAACACTTTTTAAATGGATTTTATTTGAAGGAAATATATTTAATTTGTAAGAAATATATTTTATTTGCAGGAAGAATTCTTAGGAAATATATTTAATCTGCATACATCCAAACATATTTAATTCATTAAATTCTGAATGTTTAATATCTATCCATTTACAAATATTTCATTTAAGTATGCAGCATGTTTATTTCCAATATAAAATGTTTTTCGTTTCGCTTCTCAGTGCCGTTTTCTCCAAGTGTCAGAGGAAAACATAAATTGCAGTACAAGCCGCAAAAGTAGACAGCCGCAGCAGGGAGCAAGAACTCATACATGTAGCTGTCTGTTTGTCTCTGTATGCGTTATGTGTACGTGCATGTATGTGCATATGTGTATCTTGTCGCTGATGTCAGCGTAACAAATATTTATAGTCCTTGCCAGTTGGCAACAAACACAACACACACAAAAATAAGAAAAATATAATAGAAAAACCACCAAAAGTAGGAGAAATACAACAACAAAAAAGGCAGAAGACGATTTTTGGAGCTATTAGTGGTTCGAACTATAGATACCCCGAAACACTTTAAGACTATAGGCTTTCATAATCATTTCATAGACAATTTTTGAGTCAATATTGGGAGAATCGCGGATAAATTATTCTAATATTCGCTTATAGGGAACCCAGGCCAAGATTTCTTCTACTTCCACATAGTTCAAACCAATTTTCTTCCACTTTTACAGGGTACACAGCGAAAATAATAATAAAAGATACAAGAAGATAAGTAGCACGAACCGAGGCAGCACAACAGACAACAAACAGAAGCAAGAATAAATGACAACAGGCAAAAGGCACAGCCAAAGGAGTACAACTGGAAGACGCTAGAGAAAGGAGGGGGTGGCAGGGGACAGGGGACAGGGGAACACAACTGAAGCTAAAGTACAACTCCTTTTATGGGTTAGAAGGCGTGGCAGTTGCAATTTTTCTACCAAAACTCCCCAGCGACGATGATATTTATGATGCTCATTTAAAATCCATTAGCAGCAGGAGTCAGCCTAGGCCACAGAACAACAAACACAACAGCAAACCACACATGTCTGTGTGTGTGTTTGCCACACTCTATGGGTGTGTGCTCCCCAGTCCATGTATATGTGGAGGCACTAGGCAAGAGCGTGCCTCGAAGGTGCATTTGAAGAGAGGCGGCCCACGGGGCACCAACGTTCGACGTTCAACAATTGAATTGGGAGCATTTTGGCTTATGAATGGCTTGGCAAAATGCCTTCGAGGGAGCCACAAATACAGTTTTACTGCCATTGTAATGGGAGAGAGCGACTTTGGCAGCACTCTGGGGCATGCAGCGAGGCTGCAGGTTTGGGTTTTGGCAAGCTAAAGCTGGTAAATTGCCACTCATAATTCTACTTTAAGATGGCAGAAAATAATCTTTTAAAGACTCTCCAGAGCTGTCAAATCTCATTAGAAATTAAGAAATGAAAAGAAAAACCGCATCAGTTGCAGTCAGGTTTCACGCACACGTTTTCCACATCTATTTCTTTCTCACATTTCTTTTCTGCAGCTAGAAAATTAGATATATCTCCCTCCCCCCCTCTGCTGCATCCATTTTCCTGATGTACATACAGTTGGACAAGCACTGGGGTTGACAGCAACAGCAGCAGCAGCGGGCAGGCAGGCAGCAGCCTGCATTGAGACTGATATGAATGCGAAAGCAAAGGCAAGGAAGACACGACTGTCGCATGACTGTGATTGTGATTGATAAGCAATTGATAGCACAAGATGAGAGAGGGAAGCAGAGAAAACCAAAGAAGATATGGGAAAAAGAGGTAGAAAGCGGTGACAGAGAAAGGGGGTAGCCAGCAGCAACAGCATGACAAATGGCAGGGCTATTTTTTAATTGAAAATGTTTGCATGGATTCCTTTATGCTGCTCCCTGCCAGTGTCATTTCTCCAAGCATTTCTTCCCATCGCTATACCTCTATCTTACTGCCTTCCGCCCACTATTTCTTCTTGGTGTATCCTCTCTATAAATGTATCGCCCTTTGCTCTTGCTGCTTCTGTTTATTTTTACTCCTGCCCCACGATACTCTCACGCTGTCTTTCTCGCTGTGTGCCTGCATTTGATTGATTTATGCCAAAAGGAAACCCTCAAATATGCACAACAACAATACAAAAACTTAGAGGCAAGAACGAATCTGTGGATACGCTTGTAGAAATATATTCTTTAGATCCGTAGACTTTGATTGAAACCATTATTTATTAAGTTTTGTTCATGTTTTTGCATGAAACTTATTTTAATGTTAATTTCTGAAATTATTCATTAAGCATGATACAAATTATTATCGGTATACTATTATCGATGAACGGCCATAAAAACTAGATTTCAAGTCAATACAAAATCGTTTAATGTAGATTAAGAAATAAATAATAAGACATTTAAATGCTTTCCGCCCAGAATCAATTAAATTTCATAACAATATTTTTAAAGTATAATTAATCATCGATTTTTTTACCGATCATATAAAGATTTCGCATTGTTTCTGATTTGAAATGGATTCCCCCATTCCAATTACCTCATCTTCATGCTTCTCCCTATATTTTCCTGCTACCCAAAAACCTCTTTGCTTTCAAACTTTTCTGCATTGTGAAAAACATCCTCAAAAATCACAAGACCCACATTTGTGGCAAGTGTACAGTTAAAAATTGAGAGAGACTCGAAAATGCATGGTGTACGTTTGGGGGAAAATAAACTCCCCAATGCGCCATGTTGTCAACGCGGTGGCAAGGACGGACTCGCCTTCTTTTTGACTGTTGAGTGTTTTATAACGTGGTGAAATTCCCCAAATGAAATTATTGAAAATGGAGGAGCACTCTCTTTCTCTTTAGATGGAATCAAAAACGCATATGTATATGTGGGGCAGGCTTTTCATGGCACACACAAGCGTATGTAGGCAAGGACATTAAGTTGCGCATACGCAACGTGGCCACGCATAGACAAAATACGACGTGGCCGGTGGGCGGTGGGCGGTGAGCGGTGAGCTCTGGCGGCTTGTCAACTTGGCATAGTTTTTCGGTGTGGCACATGTGAGAGGCACGTTCCACATTCCTTGTCGCTGTTGCATCTGTTTCGGTTTAGCAAATGCAATCTCCTACAGCTCCCGCTCCTGCTGCTGGAAGAGTGGGGGTGGCGGTTCCTTTTTGTGGCTCCTCTAGCTCTAGTGTGTGGCGGCCAGGTGTGTTTGTGCCCCCAGCAGCAGCAGCGACAGCAGCAGCAGCACGTGACTTTTGTTCAGTTGCATGCGGTGCACGTAATAAACCTTTTTGCCATTGCCTTCTGTACCCTCCTCCACCCACCTGCCGCTGTATGCACACGTTTCTTTTTTAGCTTTCATTGGGGGGGGAGGATGGGCGGCAGGTCCTTGGCCAAAAAGTCGCTGGCGACGAAGACAAACAGCACTCATGTGTCGTGGGCCGCTGAAGTGGAAAGCAAACCCGTTGAAAAGACATTTCAATTTGAATAAAAAGATGCTTCCTCTATGTGTGGCGTTGGAAGCAGGAGGGGGCAGCGGAAAGGGGCATTGATGTGGAGTGGTTGCACGGCTGCCATCGCATGGCGTGTGCTGCTCAGTTGTGTGGCATGCAAATGCACCTGACAATAATGCGCATTAGCCAGAAGATTGCGCGAACAAACAGAAAAGCGCAACCGACAGCTGGAAAATGCCATGAAAATTGCTTCCCCATGGTCAAATATTCAAGCGATAAACTTCCGACTCAATCGAGTAGGAATTGAAATGTTATCGAATGATACAAGAGACAATTTTTTTATTGGAGAGTTGATGGGTTTACATTGGAG